TATTTTCATACTTCTGTTGCTGCTAATATAATTTTTGATAATAACAACTAGGTTCATGCTGCAAGGCTAAAGGGCTCCCAGGAGGATGTGGTTATAAAGGTCTTAAAACCTGGAATAGAGGACATATTAGTGGCAGATCTTAATTTTGTTTATGTAGTTGCTCGAATATTGGAGTTCTTGAATCCTGAACTAAGCCGGACATCACTGGTATAAACAATGCGGGCAGCTGTCTCGGATTTTCTGCTGTTGCTTTATATGTGCATATTCTCTCTACTGTGTATATTTATTTTTATAATTTGAAGTATTCTCTCAGACAACACCGAAGTAAATTCTCAGATCTTTAATATGTTGCCTGTTTGTTGTTCCTGTTGATTTCTCTGACCCCACTGTCTTTCTTTTAATGGAAGGAGACTTAGAAGTTATACTCTCTGCCTTCCTTTATTAGTCACTGTTACTTTCATCTATGCCAATACTAGGGGCTAGAACTCCCTTGTAATGTAATCATCCTTTCGTTAGGTTGGTATTGTCAAAGACATACGGGAGTCTATGCTTGAAGAGGTTGACTTTTACAAGGAGGCTGAAAATATCGAAGCTTTCAGAAGATATTTGGAAGCCATGGCACTCACTGGCCAGGCAACAGCTCCAAAAGTATATCGATACTGCAGTACTCGGCGAGTTTTAACCATGCAGAGACTTTATGGAGTTCCACTGACTGACCTAGACTCCATAAGTTCTCTTGTTTCGAATCCAGAAGCCTCGCTTATAACTGCTCTTAATGTTTGGTATAGCTCTATTTGCAGCAAATATATATAATTTCCTTCATTTTATTCATCTCAAAATTTACTTATTCTCTCCTGATACAAAATTGCATCTCTTGGTAAATGCTGTTTTATTAGGTTTGGAAGTTTGCTTGCATGTGAATCCTTCCATGCAGATGTACACGCAGGCAATCTATGGCTTCTTCGTGATGGCCGTATTGGGTTTCTTGACTTCGGTATGCATTATCTCTTCTTTGGGTTATTTATGTGGACGGTTATACTTCAGCTCTGTCTAATAGCCTTATAGGAGAGTTCACTGGCCATCTGTTAATTTAATGAATGTGTCAATGTGGTCCATACATTCTGTGTGAAATTTAAGTGCTTCAAGTTTCTACACGTCTTCTTTAATTCGTATTGTTTCATCACTATTAATTTATTAGTAGCTTCCCAAGTTGCAGTTATGCTAACTTAAGTCATAATGAAGTATTATGGCTGTGATTATTGAAATGGCCCAATGGTTTAACTTCTGAAGTTCAATCCTTGAAACATATGGGCTTCACTTCGGAAGAGCATTATTCGAAGATATTCGTGAGCATTTTATCTCTGACTATCATTGGTTTGATAACACTTTATTTAGTGTTGACAACACTTAAATTTGCAAATGACAATAAGTTTTTGTTGACATTCCTTATTTGGCATTTTGTAATTTCCAACTTCTTTTTTTGTCATTTTCCCCAAATTCTTTGAATCTGTCAGGTGAATATCAAGTGGAAGAAATTATCATTAATCTTCTAAAGCAGTATAGAGATAAAGGCTTTTGGGTTCCCATGCAAGAGATGCCACTCTGTAACCCAAATTGTATTTCATTGTATGGAAAATAAACACTTGGTTGTATTTAGTACCTGCAAATATTTTTAGATAGAAGCTCCCATCAGTCGTTGCCCTTACCACTGTTTAAATGTTCTCTTTGATAGTAACTATTAAGAAAACTGGTTATAAGAGTGTTTGACGGTTTCAAAAGTGCCGCTTCTTTAAAAAGGGAAAAAAAAAAAGTATTTTGATTATTGCTTCCACACAATTCCCTGAAATAAACGAGATAAACTTTTGTTTCAACTTGCAGGAATTGTTGGGCGTATATCTCCCAAAACATGGGCTGCTATGGAGGTATTCTTGGGATCCATTGCCATTGAAGATTATGACTCAATGGCCGCTGCCTTGATTGAAATGGGTGCTACAAAGCAAGATATTAATGCTAGAGCCTTTGCCCAGGATTTGGGCAAAGTATTCTCAACAATTAAGGCAAGCACTGTAACTCACTTATACTAATGAATGATGTTTGTTCCATAGGCTGGTATGAATGTAAAAGTACTCAGCCTACCTGGCAAATGCATGCTGGTACCTGATTATGCTTATGTTAATGTGATGACCGTGATTTTTCTATTTGTTAGGAATTAACGGGAAACTAGTGGGGAAATAACAAAATGTAATTCTTTCTGCAGAGAGTGCTCGTCTATTAGTTGTGCTATGAAGTCAGAGATATGTATAAACGTGTGCAAGCATTCATGTGCAAAGAGATAAATTTAATGTTTGGTTATGATAAATTAGGGCTCACAAAGTTGGGTTACTATGGCTAGTATTCTTTGCATTATTGTTATTCGTAGACAAAAAATGGCGTCCAGAAAGGTCGTCTTCCTTCTCTTTTGGGCATCATTTCTCATCATTTAGACGTTTGATTATGAGAAGCATGCAGATAACTTTAGGCCACACCTCGTTTAATTGTTATTTCTTACATTAATTATCTGCAGGAGTTGGACACTGAAATAGTCGTGGCAACTAGAAGCGGACAAAGTACAACCGCAACCGCTGTCTCTGCTAATATTGTACTCGATGAGAGGCAGATGAATGCTCTCTTCCTTGATGTGGTATGCTATTTAATTTGAACCACATCAACTTGTAAGTTGGTATCAATAGGTCCAGAAGGCACTGACAGTTAGTCAATAGGCACGTGGTAGAATATCTGCCCCTAGCTGAGCTCTAGAATTACAATGGAGCGGAATACAATTTCTCACACTTCCCCGCTGATTTGATGGATTCCTATGCGACTTTTGGATTGTCAGGAAACATGAGAAGTCCCAGATTAATGGAGGATGAACAACATTCCATCATTCCTTAGTTGAAAACAAATTGTCCATAAATATGATCATTATCTAGTACCCATATATGCAGTGAATCGTATCCAATGTGCAACATTGCATAGGCAACTGGCAGTTTGATTATGTCTGATACTACTCTTGTTTTCTTCCTGGTCCGCAGGTTCAGGTGAGTGAATCATATGGACTAAAGTTCCCCCGGGAATTTGCACTTCTCCTGAAGCAGCTCTTGTATTTTGATCGGTATACCCGGTTATTGGCTCCCAATTTGAATATGCTTCAGGATGAGAGGATTAGAATTGCCTCCAATAGAAGAAGCAAATATAGAGATGGTTCCGAATGAATTATTATAGGAGAACCTGAATGTACCCAAGATCAGGCTGAAAGCTTAAACCGTATTGTTACTATTGTATAGAAGCAAAATGTTTTGGTGGCAGTTCACCGCTTGATTGGAATATTTGAGAGATCTGGAAAATCAACGCTAGCTTGACTCTTACTCGTTGGATGATACCAACTGGGATTACAAGTTGAACTCTGCCCCTGCAAAAGTTATAATTAAAGAAAGGAAAAAGTGATATTAAAAATATTTTTCTTAGCAAGTACCTACAATTTGTGTTGAGATTTCCTCTTCGTATGATTATACCCAACAAAATCAACGAATCTTATTATAGATGTCTTGGTATAGTGTGTATGTTTTCTACAAAATGCGGATGAAAGGAGACTTGCATGCCATGGCAGCGTTTTGGCTGCAAAAAAGAGCAAACTACGATGCAAATCACATGTCAATGACCAGTAGGAGCACAGCTCTTAATTGAGTCCGAAGCCGCGACATTGCCATAATTCTAAACTTACAACCAATAATTAATTTCACCCTTCATTTGGAATTTACAACCAATAATTAATTTCACCCTTCATTTGGAATTGCACCACGGTGTGTTACGTGATTGATGATACCTTGACTTGCGTGCAAATAGTCCATTAGATGCACACTATCGTCTTGTAGATAATATATTACTGCATCTTAAATTATGATGAGAAATTTCCCGTTCTCAATCTTTGCTGTTTTACTTCAGATTCACCAAGAACAAAAGAAATAGCATTGACTTATGCTTGACCCATGGCCTGTCATGATGGTTCCCGAGGATTGTAACTATTCAACACCATTACCCGCATGGTTTTTTTCATTGACCATGATGTTATATTTACCTGACGATTTAGTTCCTCTTATCACTTGACTTAACGAGGTATAACCCATCAGTTGATGAAGTGGCGAACTTCTCGGCGGTGGGGGCGGACGAGCATCCATTTGTGATGATACTTTTTTGGACATAAACACATTGGAGACAAGTCCAGCTGATCCGTTTGTTCCCATGGGAATCTCAATTGAACAAGAATGTGATGAAGCAATCTTCTCTTTCTCTGTTTTAGCGTCACCAGAGACACTGTGATCATATCCCCAGCCATGCAGAGAATGAAAGGCTGATAGGGAAACAGGATCTTCAGAGGAGCAACTTTTAGAAGCAGATAGTCCATAATTATCTGAATATGAAACAGGGTCCGCTGGTGAAGAGTTGTAATGGTTGGCATCAGAATCTGCAGGTCGATTGCTTCCATTAATCACCTTGCTTCCATCAAAATCCATAATTTGCAATGATTTCATCATTGGAAATTTGAGCACCTCTGAACATGAACCACATTTTAGCTTATGATATGCCCTTCTAAAAAGAAGAAAATCAGCAGGCAGCTGCAGCAGCCTGAAGCAGCGATCACAAGTGAGAAAAGGGGCCCCACCCGCCACTGGGCGGACATGTCTTTTAGCCAAATTCTGTTTCTCCTCGGATATTTCTTCGCCTTATAAGCCTGATGTCTCTGATCATCAGATTGTGTTTCACAGCCATATAATGAGGTTTTAGAGCTCACAGTCCACTGTGGATTCCAAGGATAAGAGCAATGAGGGGAGCAACAATTGTGACCATGGTGATACCTGCACAGTGCTTCATGCTGGCAGACATGTGGAGTTAGGTCTGCTGGGCACTGCCACTCTTCTGGAAAGCAGTGTCAACATAGCTCCAGGATTCTGGAAGTTTGTGCATTCCATGCATCTACCATCGCAATTCAGGTCTTCTGAAATCTTTCCTCTTGAAGGTCATGGTTATGGTAGGACAATGTACGCTTTCCCTTACAAGTGCTTGAGCAGGTCTTCCATGTCTCTACATTCACAGAGCTAGTTCTGCTGAATCCTGCAATATGTATATCATTCTCAGCAATTTCATCTTCTCCTGATCGGGGTCCTCACAAGTGTCAGATGGAAGGAAGGTTGAGCTGCATCAAAGTAACTGATTTGATGGGCTGCCACTTTCATAGCAGATGAACCACTGGATAATGAAAAGGCATTTTGGATGGAAACTCCTTTCTATCTGCTGCTTTCATGACATGGTGGTTTTCACTGCGAAAATCTGATGAAAAATTCAAGCGTTGGTGTGCTTTAGACTCTCCATATATGATGCTATCAACGAGGATTTTTGCCATTCTGGGCCTTTCATCAGAAACATCATCAACAACACTGTTGGTGTTGTCCAAGGGATTTAAATGCTGGTAACCAGGGATATGCTCGTCCATCCCATCATCAGACGAGACACTGCCATCATAAGCATGAGAGCTTCTAGTGGTTGGAGAACTGGACAGTTCACCGAGAGTATCACCAAACTCTGAACCCGGATTAATGACTTCTGTGGCATCAGATTTATCCATAGACCTTATACGTTCAAAGCTGACATTAATACTACTCTGTGCTTGCTTCAACAGTTCAGTGTAAGATATTACATTATTATATGATGCAGCGTGCCCTTTACCAATACAAGCAGTAATATCTGAAATGCTTGCTTTTTCGGAGGCTACATTTGCAGTACTTCTGGAAGCAGAGGCACTTTCAGTGGTGTTCGCTGTTGATTTTGCACCTCCTGGAATGTCACTTTTGAAATTTTGTTCGCCTGTTGCAGAATATAACTCCTCTTTCAATCCCTTTAATAACAAGCTTTTATTATTTGAATCTTCTGGTCCAGCTAACTGCAAGTTTGCATCATTGGCCTCCGTCTCACATCGAGTCAGCCCAGGTGAACAACATTTGTTGGATACCTCATGCCGATTGATTTTGATGCCTGAATGTTCACAGGCAGCCATCTCATTTTCCAGATCTTCAGCTGATAAATTAGAAATTTCAAGCTGCTCTCCATTGCATTCTCCACGATCACTTTGATCCCTTCCAGCATTTTCAACTGAAGAACATTCTGTCGCTTTGGTGCCCGGATCATTCTCCCTAGGACCATTTTGATTTTGACTCTTTCTACAGCTATCATCCAAGGAAGGTTCTCCTGTGGAATAAGCAGCAGCTGTTGTTGTCCTCTCAACATTTTCAAGAGAAAAAACTAGTTGCTGTTTCTTGCTAGATATATTCTCAGAAACAAGATCCGATGAGTTTCTAGGAGTTTTTTCACTTTCATGTGAGCTGGACTCTGAGTTCACGTCGTCGCTTTTCCTTCTTTTAGCTGTGTGCAGATCAGTAAGACGACTTTAATAGCAACTTCAAAACAAGTTGCATGTTAAATAAATTTCCTAATTTATTAAGTTGAATATTCATAATAAGTATAAATTAGTGTACAGAGAACCCCACCAAACAGATAAAGAGCATCCGTAACAAAGCAAAGGAATAAATCATATCAGAAAAATCAATGTGGCTTGAATAATTTTGAAAGATGATAAGACATTATTCAAAGGTTATGACCAAACCAAACACATTATCGAAGAGTTGTCACCTTGGAGGGTCGTGCCACACCCACCACACTTGTAAACATTATAATGTGGAAGCTCTGGAAGAAGTAGCCTGCACTTAGGACACCTGACTAGTCGAAGTTTAGTAGCCAGTTCACCTGGCATCTTTCTTCAAATATGTAATAAATTATGATCCGAAGGCTGTCTTTAGAAATTTTGCAAAAAGTATATGCCAAGATCACATACCAAATGCATCAACTGAACAGCTTCCTCAGTTGAACTTAACGAAAGATCTCCCTAGTCCTGCTGTCGGCATCAGACAATAACAAGTTTAACTTGGATTCAAGTAAACCATTCCTTAGCTAGAATCGACAAAGTGTTACACTGATGTAAATGGAAATGTTCTGAAGGAAATACAAGATGGTAATGAGTAGAGCAAAAGAGCACAGGTCTTTCATGTAGATTGATGAGTTTAGAAACGGCTCATTATCTATCGTGCCACATACGAGTACATGGAAGTATACTCCGTCGGCAACAGAACAAGATAAATCACAGTGAAACATTCAAAAAGCCACAACTAAGCTGGGAAAATGTCGTGAAAAGAAGAAGAAGAAGAAGAAGCAAATATATCGTTAAGCATCATTTTCACTATATTTTAATCTTTGTCAATGAAAGGCAAAATTATATGCTGCAAGGAAAATCGATGTCGTATTGTCGAGGACAAGAACTCTTCAAGAAAAAATTTATCGAAGTATAAACAGTTGAAATCGTGGTATATTTGTCGTCCGGCCAGATTGCTAAATATATAACACTACAATATCATGGAAAACAAGAAAACGTAATATTTTCGATTACATGTGAGAGACGTTGGAGATCCCGCAGGGAAGAGAAGTGAATAAAGGTGAGGAATATTCATTTAAGTGTAGAATTGAAGTTATCTAATTGCAAGTACCTTAGTTGCCAGTCAGATCAAATCATAGTTTATAGCTCCAAGCATGAAGATCACGATGGGAGGACTAAAAGAGTTCACTTAAAGAAACACAGAGATGTAGCCTGAGGAATACAAAGAAGAAAGAAGAGAAGCAAAATCTCAGAAAGCGAACAACAAGGAAGTAGAACGGGTGAATAATGAGGTGGAATGGAGTGACTCATAAAGGCCGCGGGGGGGGGGGGTAAATAAAGGAAGCAGAGCGAGGGAAGCGGAAGAGAGACAGAATGGAGAGAAATCTTTTCTTTGCCGCAAAGTTTAGGAGCAAAGAATGACACAGAATCATCACCATCACCATCATGATCCTCGAGTTATCATGTTCTTCTTATTCCTTAGAATAATGATACGCGATAAAGGAGCTACGCAAGAGAAACCTGAACTGGTTCTGCTCAAGATGGATTTTGGCTTTGATTATTAGTTTGAAAATCCCTACACCACCTACATTTCTGTGTGTGCATTGACTCAGTACTCTCTCTCACTGTCGCGGGCGTTCTCTGCATTGCGGAATGGACAGAAGTTTTAAAGTCGGCGCCGGTGACATTTAAAGCTCGAATTCGCCACTATTGATGAGCTGGCACCACGTGGGTCCCATCTATTCAATTCTTGATAAAATCATCCTCATTAAATCCACCTAATTTGTTTTTGTGAGAAATGAAAAGTAAAGAACACTTAAATAAAGACAAATACACTTAATTAGTTTAATTTTTTTAAAATAAAATTTTTTTAATGTTTTGCTTAAAGGATACTTCAATCAAATGAGTTGCAGTTGGCGGGTTAGAGGATTATTTATTGAAAAGCAAAGAAAGAAAGACAGGGAGGGTCAAAACTAAGTGGCGCCGGTGATTAAGGGAATCCTCATTATGGGTTTCAACGATGGACGGACAGATCCTGATTTGCTATCAAAATCAGAGCCTGCTTCCCCTGTCTTTTAGGCCTCCTTTATCAGGCCCAAGCAATAAAATCACAATTTAATAAAAAACCATGCTCACGTGAAAAAATGTGAAAATTGGAAACTACTCATCTGCTGCCTCATTTGAAATCGTGTTTTGACATTTTATGTAAGGTGAAATAAAACTCCTATCACATCTTTATCACATATTTCATAAATTATGACTAAAAATTATTTATAAATCATTCTAAATAGGATTATAATAATTGTGATAGATTCATGATAGCATTGCTTATGATGTCTAGTCAAATAAGGATATGCTAATAATTGTTCTTATTTAGAGAATTATTTTTTAATCTATATGTCAGAGATGAAAGTTTGCGCTTAAATAAGTAGGTTTACAATTTCACTTCACTATATGAAGCCTTGTTCTATGAGTTGTTTAATTGGAGAGTAATTTTTTAATAATTGATATTAAAATGAATACATTGTTTATGAAGGGTTATATTATTTATAAATTACAAATAATAAATCACAGTCATATCTAAGTGACAATTAGTTGGTAGTAATATTTTGAAGTCAATTGGGTCCAGAGAAAGCGAAATCTTCGTGATCAAACCTTGGCAGAATATTCTATAAAATGAAAAAGAACGGCACGGGCATCTCATGTCCTGCTTTGTCAGCGAATCATCACGGCATTTGTTACCCACCCCGTCTTTAATTTCCGCCCCTCCTTTTTTGGGATTAAATAGTGAATAAAATTGAATTTTCAATTTTGAATGCTGGGAATTACTGTTAGTGCTTTACGATCCCTGGGTATTAATTGCGGAAAGCTGGTCTGAAAGCTTGACTCGAATGCCCCTGGAATCAGTTCATCCGTATCCTCTGCCAACACCCCAAGCTGTTAATCGGTTATAGACGTTTACCTTGGAAAATACTTGTCACATGGCCTTTTTTTTCTATTATTATTATTATAACTATACTCGTCAAACACAGAAATTAAATTAATTGTATAAAAATACTGCTAATCATTAAACAAAAATAATTAGTAAGATATTATTCTGACCGCATGATCACAAAGTTCATGATATACAACTACATAATACACTGAAAGCTGAAACCCTGAGTTGATTTGTGTGCATAAACGATTCTGGGTTATCCCAGTCACGACTGGAATTGAACCGTTTATATAAATTCATACAACTTTCCATAATCATGCCAACATGAATTTTGAGCCCTAGTTTCGTTTTCATTGTTACTTCAACTTCCTTCAAATCCACTTTCATCATACCAAACCAGGCGTAAACATGAATAGCCTGCGTTAACGCAAGAAACCTCTGCTATGAAAAATGAACACAAACCCCCGAAAAAACGGTCCGATCTACTTTTATAGGAAAGGAACAAAACATTCCACGACGTTGGGCTACAATTGATATGTAAAGCTTCAGCATCGACAACATGATGACAATGATGACACGCAACTAACTGTGACTCAGGAAGAGGCTACAACAGCACGACGCTTGTGTCCAATAATGCTTGAAGGAGTTCCTGATATCCACTCCTATAGTGGTCCAGTGAAAAGCAAAGTTGCCGTATTGCCTCCCTCTTTTCCTCCGCTCTGTCCGAGATCTCAGCGTTTTGTCCAGCCACCTCTTTCTCCAGCTCTTCTACTTTCAGCCTCAACTCATTTACTTGATTCATTTTAGTTTCAGATTCTGAACTCAGTTCTGCCTGTTGCTTTAGTAACTGGCTTAGCTCTCTCTCCTTATTTTCAATCTGATTATCTCGGAAGCTCACTTCTGCCTCAAGTTTATGGATCCTAGCATTGGCCTCATCTTTTTCAGTCATGAGCACGTCATACTTATGTTTATACCTGTCGAACTCCTTATTCAAAGCCTCTATATCACATATGTTCTGACCAAGTTCTTCCTTCAACGAGTGATTTCACCTTCCAATAGCAGCTGCTGCGTCGCATGCAGCTCTCTCAGTTTCAACTTTTCAGCTTCACATTCCTCTAACTTACTTTCTAAAATGTTGCTTCTTGATTCCAATTCCTTGAGTCTATCGTCCATCTGTAGTTTTTCTTCTGATAAAGTTGCTATACCAGACTGCAGCTGACTTTTCTCTAAAGAGATCTGTTCCTGGGCATCAGCATTTCAGACTTCAACTTTTGCATCTCAAGCTCGCGTTTAGTTTCATTAGTTTTGTGCCATGTAATTCTGTCTTCTAACTCTTGAACTTGCTTTCTCCCTGAATCAAGCTGGGCTTCTAACGCGGCTATATTTTCATGTGCTGCTTCAAGTTGACTTGGCAAATCTCGAGTACCATCACATGACCTACTCAATAGTTCCCCTTGTAACCTTGTAGCCTCATCATTTGATGCTTTGAGCTGTTCTCTAGCTACCTCCAACTCTTCTCTTCCATCAACTTTGCTATCTTGTTGAAACAGTCTGGAACATGGGTTTCCAAAGCAGCTGTTTGTTTTTTGCAACTCCAATACCTGTCCTCTTTCGTATTCAAGGTCAGCCTCCCTCATTTTCAATTCATTTTGAACATGATCAAGCTGATCCTTGTGCTTCTCCATCTGATTTTTTAAATTGATAATCTCCTTTTCTGAGATCTGAATGTTCAAGTTTGAAATTCTCAGCTCCTCCGCATTTTTAATAAATTTTCTAAGTAACTCTTCATAAGTTATGTTCTCTATCACCCGCGATATATTATCTGGGTCATCTTCCTGGTCCATGTAATTCTGTCGTTCTATGCCATTGAATTCTCCTTTCAGCTTAGTCTCTTTGGGAAGAATTTCGACGTCGTCTGATTTTACAGGCAACCCATGGTGATGGATTACAGATGAATTAAAAGATACGGATTCTGAGGATAACGATGAGGATGAGGAGAAGGGGGATCCAGAGCCCTCCTTCAGAGAAGTCAGAGAGTTATCACCTCCAGAGTTTAGAGATATGTCTATATTGACTGGTTGAAGGCCAGATGTCTGCAATCCCTGCTTTTGGTATGGAGTATAATAGGGAGTCACCACCTGAGTCCCTTGGTCATTAACTGATTCAGAACTCTTAGAGCCTTCCATCTCAAAATCTGATGGTTCTGTCTTTGATAAGAACCTTGCACTAAAACAAAAATTCGAAAAGAGTGTAAGTTCAGTGACCTTCGTCCTTCTAACAAATTAGACCTAAAGAGTTGAGAAGAGAACCAATTCCCAAGTCATAATGCAGACCATGTCCTTTCACAGCCTCAGAGACTTTGGTTATATAATGATAGGTTCTGAGGAATACGTTCCAGCGACAGAGCAAAATAATGGGAAATAACACAAAGAAGTAGGGAAATGCTGAGATTTTGATATTGATAGCAAATTAACTGAATCAGTGTTACAATAGACTCTCAATAATTCAGATCAAAATCCTATTCCCTAATACAATCACAACAACTAAGCAAAATGAAGCAACCAACCAAGCC